TATGGCGTTCATGTCCATCCATCTGTCTGTCTGTTAGCTTTTTAGCTCTTCTGAGCCAAAGGCTCAAAGAGCTAATGCTATGGCCATTTGTGTGGTGTGCGTAAACTTTTTAGAATATGGGCCATAACTCAAGAACCTCTTGGGGAATTATTGTCAAATTTGTCACAGGGTATCCTTGGCCCAAGGGCTCCCTTTTATACTAAAACTAGGGTTGTGACCCTTAAACAAGGGGAGATAATAATGAAAATAGAAACAAAAGTACTGGTTGCTAAAACATCTTCTTCTCAAGAACCACTGGGCAGATTATCACCAAACTTACAAAAAGGATTAGGATATGTTGTAGATTAAAATTTGCATGGGGATTTACCCTGGGGCAAAGGGCGTGGTCTCAAGGTCACTTTAAAGTTGACCAAAAATTACATTTTATTACAATGTTGATATTTTGCTTACTATAAGGACTAGGATCATCAAATCTTGTCAGTTGATGCATCTAAGGACCTCATATCATGTTGATTCAAAAGAAGGTCATGTTGACTTACTTTTTAAATTCTGCGACCATTCTTTTTCAAAATGATTTAGAGGCATATTTTGAACAATTTAAGGCCTATGATCATCAAACTTTGTCAGTTGATGTATCTTGGGTCCTTGAAGTACGTCAATTAAAAAGTAGGTCACTATGACCCTACTTTTTGTATGTTATGGCTAATCTTTTTCAAAACAATTAAGGTCATTAATTCGAATACTGAGAGGTTTAGAATCATTAAATCTTGTAAGGTGATGCATCTTGGGGCCATAAAACATATTTATTAAAAAGTAGGTCACAGTGATCTACTTTTTGAACTTTGCAGGCATTCGATTTCAAAGTGTTTTAGAGGCATAATTTAGACATTTTAAGGCCTATGATCATAAAACTTTGCAAGTTGATGCATCTTGAGTCCTCAAAAAAGGTCAATTTATATGACTATAATTAAATATTTCAGGTACTAATTGGGTTAGAATCATCAAACTTTGTCAGTTGATGCATCTTGGGTCTTCAGAGTAGGTCGACTGAAAAGTAGGTCACCATGACCTACTTTTGAAAATTTATGGCTTTAATTAAACATTTCAGGTACTAATTGGCTAAGAATCATCAAACTTTGTCAGTTGATGCATCTTGGGTCCTCGGAGTACAGCAACTGAAAAGTAGGTCACCATGACCTACTTTTGAAAATTTATTGCTTTAATTAAATATTTCGGGTACTAATTGGCTAAGAATCATCAAACTTTGTCAGTTGATGCATCTTGGGTCCTCGGAGTACAGCAACTGAAAAGTAGGTCACCATGACCTACTTTTGAAAATTTATGGCTTTTATTAAATATTTCAGGTACTTATTGGCTTAGAATCATCAAAATTTATCAGTTGATGCATCTTGGGTCCTCGGAGTAGGTTGACTGAAAAGTAGGTCATTGTGACCTACTTTTGAAAATTTATGGCTTTAATTAAATATTTTGGGTACTATTTGGCTTAGAATCATCAAACTTTGTCAGTTGATGCATCTTGGGTCCTTGGAGTACAACAACTGAAAAGTAGGTCACTTTGACCTACTTATAAAATTTTATGGTTATAATTTTAAAAAATATTTTAGGTATTAATTGGCTTAGAATCATCAAACTTAGTTGATGGGTCCTCAGAGAATGACAAGTGATAAGTAGGTCACCATGACCAACTCCCAGGTACTAATTGGCTTAGAATCATCTTGGGTTCTCAGAGTGTGAATTGGAATTTCAAGGGTTTATCTAAATATACAGGATACTTAGAGGCTTCAAATAGAAGTGATAGGTTGTACAGTTTATCAGAAGAGCAATTGAAGGCCCTTGGGCCTCTTGTTTGTGTCCAGCTCATAATTTAAAATTATTATTTAGCTCAGTTTCAAAGAAACTAATCAAGATATTCTTATCAAACCTTATATACTTACACATTTAGATGAGAGCTATTCAACTGCATCAACATGTTTGGACTTTGAGCTTTCCTTTAACCTTGACCTCATTTTTCTTAGATTAATGTTGAGCTAAATTTTAAAGAAACCATTCAAGATATTTTCATCAAACGTAATATTTTTATGCATATTAGTGAGAGCTATTCAACTACATTAAAAACTTTTGACCTTGAAGTTTCCTGTGACCTTGACCTCACTTTTCTTTACATTTTGCTTAGTTTTAAAGAAACCATTTATGATACTTTTTGTAAGCTTATGTACTTATACATAATTCGGTGAGAATTTATCATCTATATCCATTTTTTTTTAGATTTCAGTTTCAATTTAAAAGAAACTATTCAAGGTATTCTCATCAAATTTCATACACTAATAAAAATTTTCATGTTGCATTACTAATATACACTTGGCGGAGCATTCATGTATCATGAACATATTTCTAGTTATTTTAATTTTTTATATCTCAACACAAATTGCAGAGGCCATGTTTCACCAAGATGACAGTTTTACATTCTAAGAATAAATATTATGATCAGTCTTTTGATGTTTTAATAGGCTGTAGCAATGTTCTTCATTCATAAAGAAATACAATGAACAAAGCTGCGAATCTCTTGCACAACCAAGAAATATATGATGTATTGTTTGTTCTATTTAGTAACTACCTCATGGGAGATGCACATCAAATATTAGGAATGAAAAAATCTTTGTACCAAAAATGATATGATTTTCTTCCTTGCACTCTAATCTGTTTCTGATAATTGAACAATATTTGACGGGCGTATCATACAGCATGGCAGTACACTTTCTTTTAATATAAAAAGTACTGAAAATTCAATCTCATAAAAAATCTCAAGAACTGTAGAGTACTGATAGATATTATTAGGCGTAATAAAAAAATATGTTTACGGTTACCCGACTGATGCTATATTTAATTACCCACCCAATTTTTTTTTTTTGGTCGTAAAAATCCGGAAGTCTCTCGCCGGTCAGTTTAACTTTAACATGCATCTTGATCGGTCAAGCGTTTGAAATCAAAAGTACTAGAAACAAAATGGCATGTTTAATCTACATCATTATAAAGTGGCAAGTCCAAACAAAAGTAAATCACCACACAATGGTAAAACTGTTTTGTATTTCAACCAATTCATGTGAATTTGTATATAAAAAATTTCAATAGAATAAAAAAATAAATTCTTACCTACCGACCCTATTTTATTTCAGCATGTAACCGTAAACAAACAATTTTTTTTTATTATGCCTTAATATGCAAGCATCCTAAGGTAGTACTGATTCAAATGTTTTCAAATCACGGCCCCAGGGTTAAAAGGGCTTATTAAAAAAATCTGAAGAACAGGAGGGCTAATGTGACTAAGGTGAGTGTTGTAGCATATTGGCCTCTTGTCTTGATATTCTGGTGTGCTGATGATTCACAGGCATGGTGTTTTTCTGAAATAATTTTTTTCTGTAAAGTCTTGTTGTTTTCACTTAAAGTGTTATGTGTTTATAGCTTTATGTTTAGACCAAATTCTTACAGAGTTTTGCTGTTGCTTGTTGATTTAAGTAAGATCCACAGACTATATCTAAGGGAGATAATTCTCACAAGGATAAATTACTAAACATACTTTTTCCACAGGATCATAATTCCATGGAAAAACAATTTCTATTCGGCTAGAAAATTATGTTTTCTCAGATTGCCATTATGTGTCTTGAATGTGTTTAGATGTGTCACTTCTTACAGTGTAAATTAATCCCATACCAACAAAAGTATATCTACAATATATAATTCATAGATTTTTTAAGTAAAGAGATAATTTCAAAAAAAATTTTAAGTAAAGAGATAATTTCAAAGAATTTTCAATTTTTTGCTCACCTGAGCCAAAGGCTCAAGTGAGCTTTTCTGGTCAAAAAATGTCATTCATCTGTCTGTCGTGTGTTGTCTGCAAACTTTTTCACATTTTTCAACTTCTTCTCTGATCCAGAACTACTGGGCCAATTTCAACTAAAATCGCTAAAAACTTAGGTGAAGGGGACTTAAGTTTGTTTACAGGAAGTGCCATTTCCTCTTTCAAGGGAAGATAATTAAGAATTCATGAAAAATTGGTGGCATCTTTCAAAATTTTTCTCAAGAACCATTATGCCAAAACTAAGGTGGATGCATCCTTAGGGAGTGCATATTCAAGTTTGTTCAAATCATGACCTGGGGTAAGTCTGGGCCACAACAGGGTCTTACATAGGAATTTATAAGAAATATTTTTAAAATTCTTCTCAAGAACAGCAAAGACATTATTAGTCATTGTGTCGACATATGAATGGAAATAACTATTGTTAATTGATTATACGTAGTTTTATATGTAATACGTCAATATATCTAAATGTCAAGTTAAAGGCCACAGCAAGAGATTTCTTTTTCTCATGTATAAGATTTTGGAATAAATTCTGCTTCATATGAATACAAAAATAAGTTTGCCTACAACAGGGCGCAATTGGTACCCATGGGAATTCCAACAGATTGTTGGAAAACCTGGTCTCCAAAAACCACATAGATATTGTCAATCAGAAACTCAAGCATTTTAATATGAACTCATGTAGTGTATATTGAAGTTTGTTGAAATCATTAACCCATGGGGTAGGGTGGGGCCACAATAAGTAATCAAAATTTAACATATGTAGGAAAAAGAATCTACTGATGAAGAACAGAAGGGCCATAATTTCTAAGGTGAGCGAAGGAAGTTGGGGAGAGCTTACGTAATACCCTTTGTGTCGGTGTCCCAGGTTAAAGTTTTTTGAACAGATTTCTTTTGAATTACTTAAATGCCCTTTATGAATCAGAAATGCATGGACAATGCTTTTAGCGTTTCATTGTACCAGTCAAGGTTTTAGATGCTGTAATTTCAGCTAAAGAATGACCAGATTAATGTTTTTGGTGCAGGTTAAAGGTTTTGGAGGAGGTTAAGGTTTTTGGAGTAGGTTTCATTTCCAAGTAACTATAAGCCCTTGACCAAACTTGTAGGGATGATACATCTAAGGATGACACTGCCAGGCTTGCTTTGGATGCTGAATCTGACCAACATTTTCCCGATGAGTGACCAGGTTAAAATTTTTGTAGCAGGTTCATTCTGAAATAACTTATAATGAGCCCCATGTTGACCAAACTTGTATGGATGATAAATCTAAAGATGCACACTTCTGGACTGTTCAGATGCTGGATTTGACCAACATTTTCTGGATGAGTGACCAAGTTAAAGTGTTTTGAACAGGTTCATTCTAAAGTAACTATTATCGCTATGTTGAACAATCTTGCAAGGATGATACATGTAAGGATGCACACTACTGGACTTGCTTCTGATGCTTGATTTGACCTACATTTTCTGGATGAGTGACCAGCTTAGTTTTTGATGCAGGTTCATTTTAAAGTACAGTCTATGTTGACCAAACTTGCATGGATGATACATCTAAGGATGCACTCTACTGGACTTGCTTCAGATGCTGGTTTTGACCTACATTTCCGGATGGGTGACCAGGTTAAAGTTTTTCAAGCAGATCCATTATCAAGAATCTATAAGGGCTACCTGAACCAAAAGTTGCATGGATGATGTATCAAGGGATGCATATTAACAGAGTTGCTTCAAATGCTGGATTTGACCTACAGTACCACAATAGAGAGGTTGAGATTTTAAACTTGTACGCATACATGTATGTTTGCACAAACTTTGATGTACATGTTCACGTTTTTTGTAATTTGTCTGTTGGGATTTAATGACGTGTAACATGAACGTGTTATAACATGAACGTGTAGACTGTAATTGGTATCTACGATTCAACTATTTAGTAGTTTTGTGACATTAGTTTGACTTTAGTTAGTGAACAAAACACGGTTAAAATAAATATTCATGAAACTTAACATCCTAAATAATTAACAACAATAACAGTTTCACACATAAATATTCAAGTTTTTATTGAAAAAGCTACAAGTTTACACCTACATGTAGATGCAGGAACGTGTAGAAAACTTATGAACACCAAAACTGATGACGTAATATGCAAGAAATTTAGGGAATTTCCCTACTAGACGTACATGTATGAAATCTCAACCTCTATTTTCACACAAACATACTGGTAAATATTTTAAAAATAGTATGTCAATGTGCCCTAAATTAATTCAGTTTTGTAATTAATCAGTGGTCATCTATTCTCATGCATTATATTTACTACTTGAAGATTGTAACCCAGAGGATCATTTGGGGTTACAATATATCAAAGCAAAGGAACATTTATACACAAAAAGGTAAATTTTAACAAAAAAGATGGGGCCACAACTGGTGATCAAAATTTTACGTAAGGAATGTTTTGTAAAAATCTTTCAAAATATTTTCAAGAACAACAAAGCCATTATTAATCTATATGTAAGCATACTGAGAAAGTGTAGATTCAAGTTTGTTCATATCATGGACCCTGTGAAATCAAAGTAATTAGAGAGGAAAAAAAATCTTCCAAAGTGTTCTCAAGTACAGCAAAGCCATATATAAAAGAGCATCTTCAGATAATGTAGATTCAAGTTTGTTCAATCATGATACTTGGGGGTGGGTGAGGCCAAAATCATTCAAAACTGATGATGAAGAACAGCAATGTCAGAGTTAGGTGAGCATTGTGGCCCATGGGACTCTTGTTATGACATGTAGTAAAAGCATCTGATATTTAATAAACTGAAGGTAGATCAGGCAAAACCCAGATTGTTAAATTTAATGGTGTTTTTTTGTAGATGAGGAAGAGAAAAAGACTGACTGATAGAGAGAAGCGTCAGAAAGACAAAGAGAGGAAGAGAGAAAAGAGACAGCAGTCCTTTCCTTCCTTTGATATTCCAGGAGACAATACTGTTCCTGATTGTGATGTCCCTCATGGGTCAACAGATGGAGAGATGTCAGCTCCTCCTGATACTTTTCCTGGGCATGGCTTTAATGGGTTGCCACCTGTTGAGGGAAAACCCATGGCCAGGATGCAGGCCTCTCCTAGTGAGAAAATGCATCCAAATGCCCTGAGTAACGCATCTTCTCAGGGAAGTCGTCTGTGTGCCCGAAACGGAGGCATGGCACCGTCCCCTGACTCCCCACCGTGGGTTTGTACCTCACCGAGGGTACCTGAGCCGGACACCGTGCACGTGTCTGGCTCAGCAGGTCAGGCGCAGCTGGATATGTCATCCTCTCAGGGGGATGAGTCCAGCAGGAGTCAAATTGATGCAATGGATATCAAAACAGATTTTCAAACAGATACTGAAACGATACTAAATGAATATATAGATATTGAAAATGAGAAAGATGAAACAATGAATGCAAAACTAGACACCGAAACTGAAATATATGATTTTGAAGACAAGAATGGAATTCAGTATTCTCCTGTTATATTTAATGATGAGATTGATACAAGTAATACAAGATCCTCAAAGACCTTCAGGGTATGTGTACAAGGCTCTTTTCATCAGGGTGATATCATTTTTGGTGAGAATGCTGGAACTCAGTGTGTTGCAAATTCATTAGCTGCATTATCATATCATAAGCTGAAAAATTCTAAATATTGGGAAGAAACAGACATGGACAAAGTATTGGCAACAGGAGATGAGTTATACACTTACTTGCAGCGCAGTTCAACAGCAATCAGCAGGTACCTTTTAGTTCATGAATTGCCTCAATTTTTTGAGTGTTTTAGTAAATTGTTTGAGTTCAAAGCAAATGAATCCCTGGCGAGTCTGATAAATTTGTTAGATGTAGAACCATGTTATGAAGACTTTAATGCATTCTCACTTTTAGATGCACTGCATATTGCCCTCGGAGATACTGATGGATGCTTTGTGTGTTTTGGAGGAAGTACATTTTTGGTTGGGAAAATCGGGGATGAGTTTTTCACTTTTGATTCTCACTCAAGGTCTTGTAGGGGACATATGAGCATAAACGGTAGAAGTACAAGGGTGTTGTATCAATCGGTCCAGGACATTTACAGTCATGTTTTGTCATTGGCTGTATCAATGGGATATGCAGGACTTGTTAACTGTGAGATAACAGGAGTGCACTGTACATTGAGACAGTTTGAAGGTAAAGAGGAAACCATTTATGGAGAACAGAATTATCTGAAGGGTAAGGAGAAGACTGTTTCGAATGAAACACTTTCAGAAGAAAACATATCACTGTCTAAGAATTCTAGTCTGAATTTAAATGAAAATGGAGTAGAAATTGTTTTGATTGAGAATCATAAACTAAGTTTTGTGCCATTGTCTCGTAAAACCAAGCAGCAGCTTTGTAATGTTGTTAGAATACCATGTTCAAGTCCTACAGGAAGAGATGAACAGGTTTGCCTTGTACAAGAAATTGAAGCACCACTTAGTTGTGAAGAAATTAAAAGAGATGGGAATTGTTTTTTCAGAGCAGTTTCATTTTGTTTGACAGGGGTAGAGAAATATCACTATGAAATACGTTTAGCAGTTTGTCAGCACTTACTTCAAAATAGAATGTTGTTTCAACCTTTCTTAAGAGCAACTGAAAATTCTGTTGAGAGGCATATTTCATCTACTAGTATGTTAAACATTGGCATATGGGCAACCGAAATTGAAATTCTTGCTCTCTCTCATCTTTTGAGCACTGACATACATACATACTCACAGAACAGATGGATAACATATTCAGGACAGATGGTTGATCAGAAAAGAAACAGCCAACCAAAGGAGTCAATTTATCTCTATCATGAGAATCAGAATCATTATAACGTTGTTTTGACAATTTCTGGCAGAAGTTCAGAAGCCATTTGCAGGTCAACATCATTGCATATTGGCAATAAAAATGAAACCAAAAGGGAATTGAGTGAAATGCATTATTCTGTACCCTCTGTAGAATCACAAATCTTTTGTGAAGATGCACCTTCCCATGAAAAGAAAGTTGGTAAATTGCAAAAAAATAAATCAAGAGCTATACTGAGGAAACTTGAAAGAGCAAAGCAAAAGTATAAAAGTGACCTCAAATTCAGAGTGAAGACAATAGCTGAAAGGAAAAAGAGATACAAAAATGATGAAATGTATCGAACAAAGTTAAAGAGGCAAAGTGTGGAAAAGTATGCATTAGATGCAAATCACAGAATGAGAGTTCAGGAAAACAGCAAAAAGAAATACAGGTTAAATGAAGGTTATAGAAAGAACATGAAAAGCAGAAGTACTGAAAAGTACAAATCAGATGTTCTGCACCGAAAGGACGTAAATGAAAGAAGCATGAAGAGGTACTTAACAAATGATGTATACAAAAGGAAAGTTAAAATAAGAAGTATTCAGGAGTACAAGAAAAATAGGGTGCATAGAGAAAATGTCATGAGGAGAAGCATAGAAAAGTACAAGATTGACCAAGTACACAGACAGAATGTAAAGCAAAGAAGCTCAAAAAAGTACAAGATGGATGGAGAACACAGAGAGAATGTAAAGCAAAGAAGCAAAGAAAAGTATCAGATGGATGAAGAACACAGAGAGAATGCAAAGCAAAGAAGCACAGAAAAGTATAAGATGGATGAAGAACACAGAGAGAATGTTAAGCAAAGAAGTATAAAAAAGTACAAGAAGGATGAAGTTCACAGAGAGAATGTTAAGAAAAGAAGTACAGAAAAATATAAAACAGATGAAGCACACAATAGAATGGTTAAAGCATCTAGTAAACTAAAGTACCATTTCAGTTCTGATGCCAAAAAAGAGAAGAAAGAATATGTAAGAAATCAGAGACAGGCATTAAAGGTGAAGTTGGAAGATGAAGATGAAGTTGTAGAATTATTTAAGGAAAATGCTAGAAAAGGACCAGAGTTCACTTGCTGCTGTTGCCATCGCTTATTGTTTGAAAATCAAGTTCAAGGATGTGCACCTGAAATGTATGAAAAAAGTCAGCAAGCAAGGGAAGTTGCACAGACATGCATACAAAACAATTATGTTCATCAGTGCATAGAGTCCTGCTCATTGAATTGTCCAAAAGTATCACTATGTATCTGTTTTACATGTCACAGGAAAATATTGAGCGGTAAAATCCCAGCAGAGGCAGCTGCCAACAAAATGTATTTAGAGGAAATTCCATTTCAACTTGGTAATTTGAATAGCTTAGAGCAGCATTTGATCGCTTTGCACATACCATTTATGAAAGTGATGGGTCTTCCACAAGGTGGCCAACGAAATGTTCATGGACCTGTTGTATGTGTACCTTCAAGCCTAAAGAAAACAACTAGTTTGCCATTAAATGCAGATGAAAATTTATTGCTTCGAGTTAAACTCAAAAGAAAGCTGACATACAAGGGATACTTTGAATACCAATTTGTAAATCCCAATCATGTAAAAACAGCTCTTAATTATTTGAAAAAGAACAACCGATGGTACAAAGATGCTGTGATCAATACTGCATGGGAAGAAGATTGCGAACAAAGTGACTTAATAGCAGATGATTCCATTGAATTTACAGATGAGGGACCAAATGAAGAGAATGAAGTTCTGGAAGTTGTTATGGATACTTGTTTGCAACCTGTTGATGTTGCACAGGAGGTGCTTGACCACTACTTCGATGATGTATACAACATTGCTCCAGGTGAAGGAAAAAATCCTATCCGCATGCTGCAAGAAGAAGGGAATGAAGCAAAAACATTTCCTCATTTATTTCCTTCTGGAAATTTTTCATGGAATGAAGAGCGAGACGTGAAGATATCCCTGTCAAAATACTTCAACAATAGGCTTATGAATGTTGATAATAGATTTGCTAGAGATACAAATTACATTTTCTTCAGCCAGTACATGTCTGAATTGAACCAGGTGATTGAAAAGACACAGATTTCAATCCGCAAGTCTGTATCTAAACTAGATGGAGGGAAAACAGTAACCTCAGACATGTTGCAGAATCCAGATGTGCTCTCTAAATTGCTAAAAAATGATGAGGCTTTAAGATTCATGCAACCAATAAGGGGAACACCTGCATATTGGTCAGCTGCACAGAAGGACCTCTTTGCAATGCTCCGACAGCTTGGTATCCCAACGTGGTTTTGTTCATTTTCTGTTGCTGAGTTCAGGTGGAATGAAATTATTGGGTGCATTTTACGCCATCAAAATGATGATAGACATCCAGATAATTTGGACTGGTCAGAAAAAAGCGAGTTGCTAAGAAGCAATCCAGTTTCAGTTGCTAGAATGTTCGAACATAGATTTCATGTTTTCCAAAGAGACGTGATCTTGTCACCAGCACAGCCAATTGGCAAAGTTATAGATTACTTTGTAAGAGTTGAGTTTCAGCAAAGAGGTTCCCCACACATGCATTGCTTATACTGGGTAGAAAATGCACCGAAATTTGATGAAGATGATGAAGACACTATTTGTGCTTTTATTGACAAGTACATAACATGCTCCTTGCCGGTCGAAATTGATAACACTGAATTACGTAAAACAGTAATAGGTGTGCAACAACACAGTAAAAATCACTCTAAATCATGCAGAAAAAAGGGAACAGATTGTAGATTCAATTTTCCTAGACCACCATCAGAAAGAACATTTATTGTAAGAAAGTGTGCAGAAGAAGACGATGATTCTCAAGATGATGAAAGAATGTGTAATTCTCAGGCCAAAGATATTTTGTTGAGTGTATGGAATGAAGTCCTTGATGAAAAGAGTGCATTAAGGTCAACCGAGGAGGTATTCAGTAATATTCAACTATCGCAGGATTTGTATGAGATGGCGCACAGAATTTTATCATCAAGAACATGCACTATCTTGAAACGAAATCCAGATGAGATGTGGACTAACCAATATAATCCATGCCTTCTCAAATGCTGGGATGCCAATATGGACATTCAGTTTGTTTTAGATCCATTTAGCTGTATTGTGTATATAATTTCATACATCTCAAAGTCAGAACGAGAAATGGGAATGCTACTAAAACAAACCCAGATAGAAGCAGCTGAGGGAAATTTAAGTGCTCGCCAAACACTGAAAAGTATAGGATCTGCTTATCTTAATCATAGAGAAGTCAGTGCTCAGGAAGCAGTATACAGAGTTTGCAATCTAAAAATGAAAGAGAGTTCAAGAAAAGTTGTCTTTATACCAGTGGGAGAAAATCCAACCCGTTTAAGTAAACCACTTGCACAAATGAAAAAAAATGTAAAAAGTGAGGTAAATGACGATGAAATGGACGATGATGAAGATAGCATTTGGTTGACAAATATTGTAGAAAGATATGAAAATCGGCCAGACTTGGAACTTTTTAATGATATGTGCCTTGCTGAATTTTGCTCAGAGTTCCGAGTACTTTCCAAATCACAGATTCCTCAAACTGAAAAGGAAGGTGTTTATCAACTAAACCATGCAAAAGGTTACATTCAGAGAAGAACAAGATCAAAACCAGCTGTTGTTAGATATCCTAGATTCAACCCAGAAAATGCACCTGAAAAGTATTACCAAGCAATATTACAACTTTTTTTACCTTACTACACACAATACCAGTTGAAACCACCTGGCTTTCATCTATATCAGTCATTTTATGAAAGTGGGCACATCAAATTAAAGAACAAGAGTTTGCAAGCAGTTAAAGTTGTGGTGGATAGTAATCGTTCTAAATTCTCGAAGAATGAAGATGCAATCGAAAATGCACAAGAAACGCTTGAACTGTTTGGTGAGCCTGAAGATGCATGGGCAAAGCTTTGTCCAGAAACTGAGGTTAGGCGTGAAGAATGTCTAGAAGAGAAGAAAAAAAGAGGGGAAGAAGAAAACAAAGAAATGCTGCTTACTGAGGAATTTGAAAATGATAGTGTTTCCGACTTGTATCATATTAAGGACATCAGTAATTCAAGACAAGAAATTCTTCCCTTACTGCGAAGTTTAAATGCTAAGCAAAAGCAAGTTTTCTATACTGTTCGTGAGTGGTGTTTGAAAAAGATTGCTGCAAAGAAAGCAGAACCTTTGCATGTATTTGTAACAGGAGGTGCGGGAACAGGAAAAAGGAAAAAGCCATCTCATTAAGACCATACATTACGAGGCCTCTCGACTGTTTGAAAAAACGTTATCATCTCCAAATTCTGTATCTGTTCTCCTCACAGCTTTTACAGGAACGGCTGCTTTTAACATAGGAGGAAATACAATACATCATGTTTTTTCTTTAACCAAAGCCTTGCCTGTTCCATATGAACCTTTGAAGGAACAAAGTCTAAGTGCAATCAGGACCAAGTTAGAAAATTTAGAGATTTTGATAATTGACGAAGTATCAATGGTTTACAAACGACTTTTGTATTATACTCATGAACGGCTTGTACAAATCAAGAGATGCAAGGAACCCTTTGGAGGAGTTTCTGTCATAGCTGTTGGAGATTTTTATCAACTTCCTCCTGTAAAACAGCGGAAAGATGAAAGGTTGTATGTAGTGAATGGTTCTTATCCTGTTGACTTTTGGCTGGACCTTTTTAAAATGATTGAATTGGATGAAATAATGCGACAACGTGAGGATGTAGCATTTGCATCAGTTTTGAATTCATTACGAATTCGCACTATTGATGAACCATTGTCAGAAGAAATTAAAAAAACGTTGAAAGATTGCATCAGAGAAGGCCCTGGGGACGTTCTTCATGTGTATTCCACAAATAAAGAGGCAACTGAATACAATCTTATGATGTTGAGAACAAATTGTGCAGATTTGGTAGAAATAAATGCTGAAGATTATCAGAAAGATAAGACAACTGGGAAGTTGACATTGCGTGAGAAACCTTTTATTAGGACAACAACAGAAGGCCTATCAGCTTCTTTACTTTTATCTGTTAATGCTAAAGTAATGCTTACAAGGAATATTGATGTTGAAGATGGCCTTGTTAATGGTGCAGTGGGCACTATTTCACTTATTGATTTTGGAAAAGAGGGACAAAATGGACATGTGCAAGGAATTGGAATAATATTTGACAGTGAAAATATTGGAAAACAGAATGGAAAAATGACTTCTCATGGAAATCAGGTAATGATCAAAAGAATACAAGAAGATATTAAAGAGAAGAATGCAAGGAATTTTGTAAGACACCAGTTCCCATTAAAGTTGTCTTGGGCATGTACAGCACATAAAGTTCAAGGTATGACTGCAAACAATGTTGTGGTTAATTTAGATCGAGCATTTGCTCCTGGCCAGGCATACGTTGCAATAAGCCGGGTCACATCAAAGAACGGTTTGTACATTGATACAAAAGATGAAAACATATTGCAGAAAAAAATATTTGCTGATCCAGATGTAAAATTGGCCCTGAAAGAAATGCAGAAATTTACTGCTTACATGGATTTTTCAGAATCTGATGCTGATTTTGAGGATTGCAAAGCAATTGTCTTGCACAATGTGCAAAGTTTGAGAGGGCATTTTCAAGACGTAAAATGTGAAAAAAGATTTCAGAGAGCAAACTTTGTGTGTCTAACTGAAACATGGATCAGGAATAGTGAGAATACCTCAGATTTTGAAATTCAGAATTTTGAACTCCATCATGTAACAAGAAAACAGTCCTATGATGAAAGTACAGAGGATTTTACAAATCTTCGGAAATCCAAAGGTGGTGGTGTAGGAATTTACAAAAAAATAGATGAAAATGCTTTGATTTCTTCATTGCCAAATAAAAACATTGAAGGAATGGTTTTAGAATTGAGTAGAGAGAAGATTATACTTATAGTAATATACAGACCGAATACTCTCCGTGTTGAGTCTTTTCTTCCAAGTCTTGAAAATCTCATTAATTTCTTTTCTAGACGCAGTTCTAACTGTATCATTGTTGGAGATTTTAATGAGGATGCTAGACACAATGGACCAATTCAAAGGCTGTTAGTGTCTAAAGGATTCAAACAAAAGGTAGACTTCTCCACAACAGAGAGTGGAACTATTTTAGATCAAGTATATATTACTGATTCCATACAGGCCGAGGTTCTTAAAATGCCCCTTTATTATAGCTATCATGAAGCCATTAAAATAAATTTAAGGCTACAGTGAATCAAATTTCATTTTCAATAAAAGGTACAAGTATTAACTGCTGCGAGGGTCCGATGTACAGAAGGGTAACTCATTATTAGTAGTCCTTTGAAAGACTTTCATAGAAATTTCTATGTTTAGTAACCATGGCAACACCTTTTGTCAATATCAAAAAAGGTTGCAAAGAATATTCATCTCAGTATAGTCTACCTGTTTACCAAATCTTATTGAAATTGGACCAAAACTGTAAGAAGAATAGGGTTTTGAAAGAATTTTTTTTTTAAATCTATTTTTAGTGATCATGGCAACACCTTTTGTTGAAACAAAAACTGTTCTAGAGGATTTTGTATCTTAATGTATTCTACTTGTATACCAAGTCTTATTGAAATTGGACCGAAACTGTAGGAGGAGTATGTTAGTGTTCTGAAAAATTGTTTACAGAAAGACGGACGGACAGACGACAGAGTCACCTTTCCAATGCATTATCTTTTCTGGTCCCAGAATTATGAAGCAGTCTTAGACTTAAGTCAAAATTTGCTGATTGTCTTAAAGTTTTAATATAGAAAACACATAAAATTTGAAATGATATTAAAAATTGTTTCCTTTCCTTGTTGTATAGTCTACCTGTGTACCAAGTCTTATTGAAATTGGACCAAAACTGTAAGAGGAGTGTCAATTTAAAGAATTTCAGAGAAATTCCTATTTATAGTGACCATGGCTAGACCCTTTGTTGAAATAAATAAAAAGATAATAAAGAATTTTGTATCTTAATGTACTTTTTATGTACACCATTGAAATTAGAATGAAACTCAAATTTTTTTAGGTCAGTAGCATTTTGAAAAATTGTTTACACACAGGTGGACGGATAACAGACACCTTGCCAATGCATAAGCTTTCCTGGTCTCAGAATCATGAAGCAGTCTTTAAGACTAAAAGTCGAAATTTGTTGATTGCATAGAAAAAACATAAAATTTGAAATGTTAATTATTAAAAATTGTCTCCTTAATTTCTATGTTGTTAATTTTAATTTTCAATTGGTAGATTACAATAAATATTCTTATCATGCATAACTGACACTTAAGTTAACTGAGGCAGTTATATAATGCTTCATGATCCTGGGGCCAGAACTCTTCTTTTTAGTCTCCCAAAATCATAATTTACCAAATTACAGGTCATGTGGTATTAAATGGTAACACAAATATATCAGCACAAGGAGTACTTCCGGTTATACTATTATAAATGTAGCAATAACACTTGAGATGAACAAGATACTAGTAAAACTCAGGGGGGAAAACTGTGCAATTATATACGTGTGTATACTTCAATGAAATATATACCAATAATAATTTTGTAATCATTTCCACCTTGTTCATAGATAAAACTTTCTCTTCATTTGCATTCTGAGGAATGGGTAGATTACATCTGACACACAGTTAACAGAAGGAATGGATTGATAACATTTGATACAAATTAATTAACAGAAGGGATGGGTTGACTATGATTTGACACAAATTAGCTGACTGATTCCGCAGATCCTGCATTGTTAAGCAATCTTGATGACATTTTTCTTAAATACATGTGATAGGGTGATTTATTTCACATATTAATTATCATATTTCAGGATTTAATTAATTTGATCAGTTAAATGATCAGAATTTTTTCTTTACAGCATTCCATTTAATTTATTGAATTAACAGCTTATATGCATGAATAAACCCCATGGGGTTATTTACATTAATCTGTATTCCTAGATTCATTTATAGATGTATGACATCAATTTTAACCCCTGTCCTTCCCTATTTATAGCTTGTGCTGTGTCATGCAGGACCTTACTTGTCAGTCCCCCCCCCTCTTTTGGGGTTTAAACAACCCTCTATACACCAGTGCAAAATCTTTTATGGACAAGAAAAGAAAATTATGTTGCATAAAGATGTAAATTTTAAGCTTACCTGTATAATTTTTAATATATGGTATTTGGCTTTTACCCCCAGGAAAATGTTCAAAGACAACAATTAAAGTATCAATGAACAGAAATCACAGCTTTTTACTTCAGTGGATAAAATATATGGGAATGAGGTGTTCTGTTAATTTATCTTGGCGTTTTAAAATGTTAAGATTTGCTTGAATTGATTGAAAATTGAGATTTAAATTTATTTGAATTTAGATCTAAGGGCAGATCACTCTAACTGCAGAAAAGAACTCTTTAGTGTGCAGTGTAGAGAGGGTTCTTTAACTAATTTGTCATTATTGAGATTTTGGTCTGGTCAGAAGCAGACACCTTGCTTCCCTTATACATGTATTTGTTTGTTTGAGACTAAGTCGTGACAATCATCTGACCAAGTCAGGACTGAATGTAAGTTTTACCAATTATATCCAACATTATTGTTTATCTTTTAAATTCCCAAATATTTAATATTCTAATATAAAGTATAAAAGTTAGTATGTGTTATTATTTTAGGGTTTTGTATAAATATTTAAAGTAATGATTCTATATCAGTATGATTTACTGATATATCTGTGAGAATAAGTGCATGTGCAATACAGTGCAGTTATAGAATCAAATTCATCTTATATAGTTTTTCTCCTCTGTATATATTGAGTAATGTCCTTTTTTTCACATATCAGTATGATATATATCTTGAATATTGTTTACAAATATTATTATGCAGGCCCATAGCAACAGTTTCAAAAGTGAGGGGGGATACCTCCCAAAAAATCTGACAATTGAAAGAAAAAAAACTGTCCAGAAAGTAGGGGGCCAACTTCCCAAAATGATCTGACAAGCAAAAATAAATAAACAATTAAATAAATAAATAGATAAATGAAATGAAAATTTTTAAAAAAAAAATAGTGAACTGTCCAAATCCTGGAATTTGCCAAAGCTCGACCTTACAGGAAGACCTTGATTCAGTCACTGCCACTAGGAATTAAATATTTCATTTCAGGACACTTGCACCTCTTAACCAATGTCAGGGAACCAGTCTATTCATCTATGAGCAACTACAGGAAAATAACTCTTTAATAGACCATGCTG